ATAATATGTACCTAACTACACATATACACACACATATATATATATATATATATATATATATATATATATATATAAAAGCACTTTTTCTTATAATGTTGTACTTGCAACATATAAAGCATCCTGTAGAGTATAATTCCATATAGTGGCTCAATGTTGACATTAGTTGCATTGTCAGTTTAATATATGGTAGACATTAACCTTACGTAAATCTCCTAAGCTGGTCAAAAGCTTGTGAGATTTTATTAGAATTATAACCAAAACTTTTTTTTAATACTAAGGGTACCCAAATGATGACACAATGTACCCTAATCATTATAGCTTTTAATTTTCTGGTGTACAGATTCCAAACAATAGGTGTTATTAGTCAGTTTGATAAACGGATATCTTCATTTCTTTTATATAGATACGTAAAGGGGTGAAATTCTCAAAAAAAGTAGAGGAACTCAGTTAGGTGAAGTGGACCTGTTTTGGAAAAAGAAAGAAAAAAAACAAAAAAACAACAAAGCAGCTCAAATAAGCACCAGTACTAGTACCTTCTTAAAAAATAAGTTCTGATGCTCAGTAGTGGTGCATACCAGCAGAATTTCACCCCTGGATATGTAGTTATATAGTTAGCCTCTATTTGATTAGAAGATTTTAGCAGTTAAAGGTAACAATTATGAGCCCTTGATATAGAAAGGACATGATGTTTCACTGAGTTAACTTGGCATTTTCAAGTGTAAACGTGAAATATTTTATGACAGCACAATTATATTGTAGTATTTGTGATGATTAAGCAGCCAATGAGAAGTGGTCATTTGGTGGGATATGATAATTTAGTTGGGCTAAACCCATTTTTGCAAATATAAAGGGGGATATCAGGATGTTTATCAATGTTGTTTTAAGCATTTCTTATTACTGAGGCTACTATAATTTTTCTAACTACAAGGTCATTTTCACGATTTATAATTTTCAAAGTTTTATCTTACTAGAAAGGCCCAGATAAAAAGGTAAGATGCAACAAGAAGTGTTAGTGAAATCTATAACAGGTTTGTTGTTATCTTCAGAACTATTTAGAATGTGTTTTACAATGTCACAAAAGAGTTATTAGTCAGCATTACTGAAATCTATATTAGCTTCATTGTTCTTTTTAAAACAGTTTAGAATGTCAAAAGGGGAGTTAATAGTTTTATTGAAGCACTCGGAGAACATTGCCCATTTTTCTTTAAATTTGAGCATTGTGGATAAGGGTTTCTTTAATGTCAAATTTTTTGTTAGTGAGAATCAAGCTTTCTGTAACCAATGGGTTTTTATCCTTGAAAACTGAGATATTTAGAAACTAGTGAGAGTTACTGTTTTGAACTTCTTTAGTGAATGTAATGGAAGGTAATAGGTCACTGTGAAAGTCATGAAAAAGTTGATATATTTGAATTGTATATTGCAAATGTAGGAAAAACACAACTTACAATAAAATTTACTGAATCAAAAACTTACCATTAAGTGCACAAAAAAGTGACTCCAAATCAGTTACTTATCAGTAGTTCTGCATGCATATCAATTTCTTTAGCTTAATGTCCATCACTAATTAAAGACAAACAATATCATAATCAGTTTGGCTATAAACATTATCCTACCTGCATACAAACTGCCTTTAAAAGAAAACTCTGTTTATACATATATTATGTATCATAAAATATCTTAGAAGTAACAACTCTATCCTGGTGTAAGAACAAGAACAGTAAAAAAAAACTCTTATGTAATAGTTTTACACTAGTAAAACAAGTAAAATATCTGGAATACATGTACATTCAAGTTTTTTAGTGGTTGCAGAACAATGGTTAACAAACTAATAAAATGGTACAACTTACAGGTAAATAAAATAAGTAAAAAAAACTGGAGGTAATTCTAAGGTCCACACATGTATATGTAAGAATGCTTTCTTACTCATAAACAACAAGAAAGGCATAACAAACTAGAAGTACCACCTTAAGGAGAGAAGAAATAGAAATACAAATTAATGAACATCAGCTTTACTATTAACAACAAATCTGTAATCAAAAACTTTATATCACAGATAAGATTATTATCTCCATATTTTTTAGATTGTCAAAAATGTGAAATAAATGGTAATCTCAAAGATTTGAACAGAATCTAACGTGTAAGGTTTAATAAAGCCTATACTGGTAATTCTGTTCTTTTTATACTCGCAATGTAATTACATGAGGCTATTTTACTTCCATTACACAGACATGCTTCAACTGTTTTAGCATGCACAGAGCAAGTGCACTGTTTTAAAAAGCTCTAATCATTAGAAAACTTTAAACCTCACTATGAAAAAAATTTACAAACATTATAGGAAAAAAACATGCATTCACTCAAAACCAAATGGGAAATATCTGACAATGAGTAAAAATACAATTTTTATTGTTGAATTATTATTATCATTTTACACATTAGAAAACTTATTTTCAAACACACATTATCTTCACTGTATTAACACTAGTAGTAAATTAGAATTCAAGCTTCAGTTGAGTGTAATTTATAATAATGGAGGATGTAAATTAACGAGTCCCAACTTTTCACATATGTCAATCAAGATGGTAAAATCTACCATCATGTTACACTAACAATTATGTTCCTGATAAGAAATTAGCATGTTGTTTGGTAGAAAATAAATTTTTTATGCAGCTAAAGAGTTGGTTACAATGTAGAAATCTACATGCAGAAAAAAGCTGAAAACAAAAAATGAACTGCAAGTGAGGATATTTAGACCATTAATTTCTTCTACACTTCAAAATATGGAGGGAACCCCGATCATCATTGTTTGAACTTTATGAGATTAACAAACTATTAATATTTTAATAAATACATTACATTGTACAAGTCTCCAAACTCATTTTAACATTAATGTCATATAACATTTTTTAATTATAATGTTGTAACATCATTCTTTTGTTGGCTGGGTTCTTGTAAGTTATTTGTCAAAAAATACTCCATTAAAACATCATGAAACTGAACTGACTGACCAACACTCTACCAGCTCAATAATACTGTTTCTAATATTTATAACTTAACCTTATTTCTAGTTAGTTTTCAAAGTTACTAGATTTTTGTGACATCTAAAATGTTCTAGGCTTACACTTGCTTGATTTTAACATCATGCACCATATAACTAATATTCCAATTAAAGCATTGAAAAGACAGACCACAACACTGTTATTGAAGTTTGTTTTATACAGTAGCGTTTTAGACTTAATGTTTTTTTATCATAACTTTAGTCATTAAAATTTGCCACAAAAGCAGTGCCTTACAACCACTTAATTGTAATCCCATATACAATGAAAATAATTTAAACTATTAGAAACACCGCTCTAAAGGTGGCTGTATGTTCAAGTAATTACTAATTGTAGTATTCATTCATCATTGACATTTTTTTTTAAAAGATGAACATTTTCTATAAAAGGATTTTTTTCTGGGAAGTACTGCACAGTAAAAGTGTTCAGATTGTGCTCTTTAGTCATATGCAATTCATTACATCGAAATGATTCAGTGTACAGAGTTCAAAATTTTCATAAATTTTACTGATATAAACTGTAATGTTTTTATAAATTAAAAGTGGTACTATTTATTGAAAAATATTTTTTCAAGAACTCCAGTTTCTCAGAACTACATTTAAAAATTACATCAATAAAGATATAATCAAACCCTCACATACAGTCCTAGTGAAAGTTGTGTTCTTTTTGTGAAGAGAATACTTATATTTAAAATTGTGTTCTATTATAAAGAAATGGTTGTTGCACATACCACAGCTATTATACTAATTGTCTGAATCTTGAATATCAAAAGTGTGAAATTTTTTATGGATTTTTGTTTGTGGTGCCATTCAACAGATGTTGCAGGAGTTTTGGTTACGTACATAGATAATGACATACACACTACATCCATTACAGTAAGAAAATAAGTTAAACTAAACTAGTTCGTGTACACATGAATTAGCTATTTCTGGAATTCAACCAAACAAAATGACAGTATACACAAGGTTTGTGGGTAAATGACTTCACATCTATTTACAGTTATATTTTCACTACGATCTTGCTTCAGTTAAGCCTAGGTTTCAATTGCTGAAAACAATTTCTGATTCATATAGGAATGTTCTTATATTAAGGTCTACTTCAATATTATTAACAAAGTAACAATTTCTAAATCTTAATTTCTGTGATGTTTGCCCATTAATCTTAAATTTTGCCTTTTCTAAAATTGTGATGATGTACATCGTACTTATTACCATATATTATAATGTTATATGTGTGAATGAGACTGTTACAAGTACTATAGCAGTAATATTAATAGACTAAGAAGCTAAAGCAAATTATATTTATTTAACTTGAGTTTCGCTTCTTTTTTCTTTGTAGGAATCAGTACTTAGAAATGTAATATTTAACCCATAGAGTATGGTTGTTTGAAAAGGGTAAATTTATTTTTTATGGGAAAAGGGAAGTACTGTGGGGGTTGTAGGGAAGGGATCTACCTAACATGAAAGGTAGACACAGTTACTGATATGAGCACAACAGCAAAATAATTGTTTGAGTGGTGTGATAAAAAGGTTAGAAATGAGAATCTGAATATTGACACAACCTCCAGGCAACAAGAGATACTATTTATTGAAAAATAGTTTTCAAGAACTCCTTACACACCAACCCTTGGAAAAAGTAAAAAAATTAAATCCACACTTTATTTTTCAGGAAACCATCACTGATCAATTCCTCTCTTAAAAATCATGTAAAGTGCTGGCTTCCACTACTGCCTAAGGCAAGTCAATTCATAAGTCAATCACCCTGTTAGAAAAATAAAACTGTTTTAACTGGAACCTATTCTTTTTTTTCAAAAAACCTTAAGAGTTGTGTCCTTTGATCCTAATGTCTTCAGAATACAGTATGAAGAAATCAGAGGTCTTTATCCTATTAGTACTTCAGATAACTCTAAGTTTTAATAAGATCACTTCTAATTCTTCTTTTCTCACTAGAAAATATACCTTAACTATTCCTACAGGGTAACCCCTTCAATCCTGAAATCTTCCTATTTCATCTATCGTATGAAATGGAACATCAGTCTTGAACACAAAATTACCAACCAGAAGAAATAAGAAACCAAATATGAATAACACAGATTTCCTAAATTACCATAAATACAAGTTATGAAATGAAGAAAGTTGGAAACACATATAATAATATATTAATTTAAGAACCTAGTTAACAAAGTAACATAAATGACTAAACAAAAAAGATCAAAGGGAGTTTTTGTTTATAGTTAAGCACAAAGCTACACAATGGGTTATCTGTGCTGTGCCCTCCACCAGTGTCAAAATCAGATTTTTAGCATTATCAGCCCTCACACTTATTGCTGAGCCAGTATGTAAACAAAAAAATAATTTATATTCATTACCTAAACTAATAACCATTGAAATAATTCACTACTTTAAATGGGGGGGGGGGGGGGGGATATAAAATAACATTAAGTGTATAGGTCTACCACCATCTTATTAAATACACAGCCTCATTTTTGTTTATGCTATAAAATATAACAAACAAAAAACATCATTCTACACCAAATAGTTCTACTTAAACTTTTTTTTTTCAGTTCTTACTTTTATTTTAGGGCAACCAAAGGAATAGTACATACAAACTCATCCAACATGCATGCCATTGTAATTATAAAATATATATCCAAAAAGTAAATAAAAAAAAAATAAAAAACACTCTAAAATATACAAATATAAAATTCACATATAAATTGTATCTTCATCTCCAAGTGAATTTTCAAATTGGTTAACGCTCAGAAACAAAGTCCATATGTTAAAAGAAATAAATTAAACATTATCATATTCTTATCTTTGTACTAAGACTAGTAGTAGTAGGACTAGTGATTACAATTAGTGTTATTAATTAAATACTCATTTTATACATTATAGTAATAATAGTACTAGTTTTCATGCACTAATAGTAGAACATATATAATGGCATTTTTTTATTAATTTAAAACTTGAAATACGTTTTTAATGATTACGTAATATTTATAACTGACTCACAAAAGTCACAGCTTTCTTGTGCAACTGTAATGTAGAAAAAATTGCTGATGCCACTTTTCAGTTATCAATGTATTATTTTCAATTTAAATATTACCTGCTTTTTCCGAAAATTCAAGTCTAGGTTTAGGCCATACATTTGATACTGGCACTAAAACTAAAAATATTACTACTAGTAACAAATATTTGTCGTAAAAAATCTTGCACAACGCTAGGGTAGTACTAGTAAGAGTATAACACCCGTCAGCCGCCCTCAGATTATTTATCACTATTTGACATATTACTAACTGGTAACTAACATCAACTGTTTGCATCATTAACAGTGAGTAACTTCACGTTTACAAACGAACTGCATACAATGTCATGTTCAATCATGTTAATAATATAAATCCAGTAATTTTAACTTTAAATTCCATTTGTTTGAATGTAAACAAAAAAAATATGTTTCTTTACTATTTCATCACGAACATTTTCCTGTTTCATGTAAAATTAAATATGTATTTAGAAATAAAACATACACAAAACCATAACCTTCTATTTACATAAGCAAAGTCGAGCACTCATAAAACTTACGCCCCTCCTTGTGAAAAATAGTTGGTGGGCTGTATTATTAAAGTTCTTATTATATTTTTTTATAAACATTATACATGGTGGATAAAAACTATAAGTTATTAAAATAAATAAAATTTCCTGAGTATCAAACAACTATTCAAATAGCGAGTTAGAAAAGAAAAATGTAAATTATTACACAGAACACCTATAGGACAACACAAAAATATAAATTCACCAATAAACATTAAATCATGACATATTTTTAGTTTGTTTTTTTTAAATTGACTATTAAATACAAAATAATTTACAAAACATCACTGTAAAATAAACGAATGAATCAGGAAAAAGAGGAATAGTTTACATAACACTCAAAATGTCATTATTTAATTTTGGAGATACTGAGTTGAATTGTAAAAATGTGATGCAATCATAAGCACCTCTAAGGATTCAATCCCCGTCCTACGAGGTAACAAAAATCAATCGATATAACGAACTGAGTCAATAAGCTAACCCAATAACAAGCCCGTTCACATAAATTCCACAAACATCTAATGAAAAGTCAACAAATTATCATTCTGTTGCAGCACTGCATGGGGAGCTAGACTTAAATTAGCATAAACATCTATATTTTAGAATAGTAAAATACTGTACTATCTACACAGCGTGGTCACAAGTAAATAGACACCACCTTTTCAGAAAAAATGAACTTTTTCAATCATATTCACATGAATTGATATATTTATAATCTAATTATTATCTAGTAGATCTTCCTTTCGCTTCGTGGAATTCGTTGATCTTTTGGGGCATCGTAATAATCATCTCGTCAATTTTAGATTGTGGGATTTTCGCCCCTCTTACTTCAAAACTTGGGCCCCTAGTAGCACAGCTGTATGTCTGCGGACTTACAACGCTAGAATCCTGGTTTCGATACCCGTGGTGGGCAGAGCACAGATAGCCCATTGTGTAGCTTTGTGCTTAGCATAAAACAAACAAACAAACAATTCAAAACTTGGAGTAGATCGCTCTTTGAAGTTGTTTTTTTTTGTTGTTTCTTGATTTGGCGGTCGAGTATGGCCCAGAGGTATTTGATGGGGTTCGTGTCAGGAGATTGGCTCGGCCAGGGCAAGTTCTGGATACCGTTTTCCTCTTGCCACTTTTGGGTGTTTCTAG